CTCTTAACCATGGCAAAGGAAGGCATTTCATTGAGTAAAGTTAACACCATATCTGCATGGATCAGCCCTTTCAGTCATAGATATACTACCCATCAAAAGTTTAGACTCACTAGTGTAAATGTAGCCACTTATGTCAGTCAACTGTTCTAAACTAGATTTTGCAAAATAGTCCATACTGTTTAAAGGTACTGTGTACACATGAACTGATGTATTGTAAAACAAATTTGTAACGTTGAAAAGATTATTGTCATGAGTTCAATAAATGATGAAACTTAGTGCAAATTGGCAAATTCTTAACAAAACTTCACACCAAAACGCAACTGTTCACATGCACAATAGCTGCACATGCTTTTCAGCAATTTAATCATGATCCTTGTGCAATTCATCTGCATAAGGTTTGCCACTAGTTCCCCCAAGTTAGTGGAGAAATTCATCTTCGATGTAGTCATACCTATATACATGACATATTGTGAATGCTTTAAGTGAGTCTAAACTTTTGATGGGTAGTTGATACTTGGGGATAGTGTGGTAACAATTTATGCTCATTTTCTTCAACAGAGAAAACTTAGTTATTTTGTTGTGTATTGTGTTCAATTTCAAGCCTGCAAGCATTCAAAACATTGCACTTACAAACAATCAAGGAGGTGGTATACATATTTCATAGTTAAGAACCTTTCTGTGATTCCTAGTGCCTTCAACATGAGGCTCAATGGGTGTCTTATATTCTCCCTGATTCCTAGTGCCTGCAACATGAGGCTCAATGGGTGTCTTATATTCTTCCTGATTCCTAGTGCCTTCAACATGAGGCTCAATGGGTGTCTTATATTCTTCCTGATTCCTAGTGCCTTCAACATGAGGCTCAATGGGTGTCTTATATTCTTCCTGATTCCTAGTGCCTTCAACATGAGGCTCAATGGGTGTCTTATATTCTTCCTGATTCCTAGTGCCTTCAACATGAGGATTCTTAGTGCTCAATGGGTGTCTTATATTCTTCCTGATTCCTAGTGCCTTCAACATGAGGCTCAATGGGTGTCTTATATTCTTCCTGATTCCTAGTGCCTTCAACATGAGGCTCAATGGGTGTCTTATATTCTTCCTGATTCCTAGTGCCTTCAACATGAGACCTCAATGGGTGTCTTATATTCTCCCTGATTCCTAGTGCCTTCAACATGAGGCTCAATGGGTGTCTCTTATATTCTCATGAGGCTCAATGGGTTCTTATAGTGCCTAGTGCCTTCAACATGAGGCTCAATGGGTGTCTTATATTCTCCTTGATTCCTAGTGCCTAACATCTCAATGGGTGTCTTATATTCTCCTGATTCCTAGTGCCTTCAACATGAGACTCAATGGGTGTCTTATATTCTTCCTGATTCCTAGTGCCTTCAACATGAGGCTCAATGGGTGTCTTATATTCTTCCTGATTCCTAGTGCCTTCAACATGAGGCTCAATGGGTGTCTTATATTCTTCCTGATTCCTAGTGCCTTCAACATGAGGCTCAATGGGTGTCTTATATTCTTCCTGATTCCTACATTTTCACGAAGACTTCAAACTCAAATGAGTTAGTATATTCTGCCAAAGGGCATACACTTCAATCTTGAACTTACTCAAATAATAGCTTTAAGTTCTCTCAGTAATTAAACAGCTTTGTTGAAATCTTTGAAGGGCATTTATAATTAGAAGTGGAACGCATAAGAAAAAGCAAGATTTATGGGTGTCAACTTGTTCCAGTGATGAAGGAGCAAGCATACACCCCGAAACGTCGTGTTATTCACAATAAAGAAGCTGACATCCACAAATCTTGCTTTTCTTAAGTTTTGTTGAAGAAAAGAATATATTCAGGCATTCTTGTCATAGCCCTAATCTTAAAAGTTATAGACTTGGTTGTCAGTGGATTTGTACACCCTCACCTACAAACACAAGCACCCATGGTCTCTGTGACCACCCTCCAGGGAGGACTCGGGGCTGGAAAAGGTTCCCAGCCACCAATGTTGGTCACAAAAGGTGACCAACTGGAATGGGTGGTCAGACTTGTTTGATAGCATGTCCCTGTCCCTATACACCTTACTGCTCACATTATCAACCACAGGGTAATTTTCTCTCCGTCACATAGTACAGCAAACTGTACCCACTGAAACACCTAACTCCAGGTACTCTTTATGCATAGAACGGCTTGTTGGTTTGTTGGAGGAGGATAATCACTAGAGTGTATAATGCTGCTTTAAGTCTTATATCTCACAGGGGACAATGAAAGATCAGAGTCTGTAAATTAATAAAACCTTTATGGATGAAGGACAATGGCTGTATTATATAGATACACTTGACATTTGTCGATACCACTCCCCAGTGATACAAGGGACGTCATGGCTGCACTGTATTTACGTCCTTTGGATAGATTTAGGCACTTTTTTGATTGAACATTTTAGCACTGACATATTGACTCAAACTATCCCAACATTTCAATATAGCAAATAACGCTATTATTATTTTGTATGTTTATGAACAGAAATTACCAACATTGAACTGCAATTAATTAAATTAAGGCAAAACTTCTTTCTGTTTCTTATTGTCTATTTTACCATGGTAACCTGTGAACATTTCTAAGAAAGTGAATTATCAATTTAGTGTCAGTATTTTAAATTTGTATCAATACAGCATCCACTGAATTACCAATATAATAAATCACACAACCAACTAAACAACTTCCAATTTTTTTTTTACATTTTATACAAATATGGAGGAGTAAAATGGCGGAACATTGGATTCAAAGCTCTTCAAAATATTCAAATTCCAAGAACACATTCAAGCATCATCATCATCATCATCGATGGGAACAAGCATATAACTAAATAGCTTCATTGGTCTGGTGGGGCGGTGGGGTAGTCTAGTGGTTAAAGCATTGGCTCGTGACGCCAAAGACCCGGGTTCGAATCCCCACATGGGTACAATGAGTGAAGCCTATTTCTGGTGTCCCCCGCCGTGATATTGCTGGAATATTGCTAAAAGCGGCGTAAAACAAAACTCAGTCAGTCAGTCAGTCATTGGTCTTGTGGTTTCTGAACAGCTGCTTCAGTGCATTTATTATGGTCAAAGTGCAAAGGTCAAATAATGGCAAAATACCATTACAAAAATGAACATATGTGTTGACACGACTACATATATACATAATGTATAGCAATATGAAAGAAAATGTCCAAAAGAAGATTCAGCATTCACAGCAAATGTCAATCCAATCCTAGAATATGAAATGTATATTTATTTCTTTATATATCAGGCCAAACCCTTACAGAAGAACTGCCATGACTGCAACTGATAACAAGAAACGGAATATTGAAGCATGTGAAGTTAAATACATTCATCATGAGAGAGAAATGTGATCAAAACTGTGACAAGCCTGATTCCAGATGTTTTTACATGCCTTCATTACATTAAGTATGACAGACAGTGATTCTTTATCTCCATGTCACATTATAAACTGTAAAGTTCGCAGATGATGCAGCAATTGTTGGCAAAATGAACGACACTGATTCTGAGGAACTGTATAAAAAGGACATTAATCATTTTATGACTTGGTGTGCAGAAAACCACTTACTCTTAAATGTCACAAAAACAAAGGAACTGATAACTGACTTTTGGAGTAAACCCACAGAAATGCTTCCAGTGATATTCAACGGTGAATGTGTTGGAACAGTGTCGGAGTATAAGTATCTGGGAACCTTCATTGACTCTAAGCTGAACTGGAACTCTAACACTGAAGCCCTATACAAAAAGTGTCAACAACGTCTTCATCTCATGCGTAAACTGAGATCTTTTAATGTTAACCCATCTGTGATGTCATCTTTTTATGTAGCATTTATTCAGAGTATTTTAACATTTTCCTTCCATTGTACGGGTACGGATCTCTCTCAGTTCATCTCAAATCTAAAATAGACAAAATTGTTAACGCTGCAAGTAAAATCGCTGGAGTCAGATTTGAATGTTTATCATCAACATATGAGCGGTAAATCTTGAATCAAGCTGTCAAAATCATATCTGACCGTACTCACTACTTAAATTCGGAATACAACCTCCTCCCTTCAGGCCGCTACAAAGTTCCAATTGTGAAAACTAAGAGAGCCCGTACATCCTTTATTCCAAGTACCATATCTCTCTTAAACAAATGTGAAGATACCTAAATCAAAGAATTTATGTAAATATGTTTCGTATCTCTCTAATGTGTCAGTAGCTCTGCTGATGTAACACAAATTCCTGAAAAGGCATTAAAGTATTATTCTATTCTATTCTATTCTATTCTAACTATAATTGTCATGAATAAATAGTAGAATAATATAAGGAAGTTCCACAACTAGCAACAAAAGCAACAAAGACATGTCCATAATCACAAGCAATCTCTCGGAGAAGCAGAGTCTATTATGATTCTGACCAAATCATGAGCATGTGTTTGTTTATGAAAACCAAAGCATATCCTTCCCATCAGTGGCACTCATCACGAAAACTTGCTGCGAACTGTCGTCTTAAAAAACCCATGTGAACATATGGTTAAGATCAAAACAGTAATAATCCATCAGACAACATTTTGGTCACTGATGTCCTCCACATGTCTTAGCATTAGCATTTTGAAAGCTTTACTGAAGCCTTAAATCATCTACCACTTGTAAGTCAAACAGTATTTGTCAAGGTGCAAATGCTAATTAACGTCTTCAAAGTCAAAGTTGTGTATGGTGCATGCCCACATAGATGTTATTCCCATGGCATACATGGTTTTCTGTCACCAGACTATGCTGCTGATATTTCATTCATGGATAAGTTAACAGCTGTCTTGAACCAACCAACTATGTATCTGTCTATACTGAATTATACATCCATGTCAATACATCTGCACCAGATGAAGCAATACACAAAAACCACAGATGAAAAACAAATGATTTAAAAACAGAATTCAGACACAGTAAAGCAATTAAATGGTTTTGTTTCTTTGAACAGTGTTTTACCGGGAGAATGAGCCGGAGAGACAAGACTGTAGGAGGGGGAGGAGGTGGGGGTAACATGGACCCCAGGAAGCAGGCAACTCTGATGAACTACCATCAGGCCATTGAGGACACAGTGGACCTGGACAAGGTCATGCCAGAGATGGAGGACATCTTCACTCAACATGAGAAGAGAGACATCAATGTGAGTCACAATAAGCAGTGTATGAAATTAGCCAAAAACCCAGCCAGACATCAGGGCTGGTAACTTCAAAATGTTACCAGCCCAAAATGGATTTAACCAGACCAGACACCAAAATATGGTGAATTTACTCAGATGTATGGAATATCTAAAAACAGTTACCAGACCATCGGGCTAGCTAGATGTAAATTTAGACCATCCGTCAGAAATCTAGCCCGTCTTGGGCGGTCGGACGGGCCTTATTTCATACACTGCAATAAGTTAGTATGTTTAACATATTCATGTGCAGTTAAGGTAAATGTTAAATATCTCCTCCATTACTTTTATTTTAAAACATAGACATTCAGAGGTTTCTGGATGCTACCACAGTATAAAACCTTAAGGACTCCCAGACCCCTATTGAGTTCAAATAGTGCAATTGTTTCAGTTACTATTCATAATTTCCACGACCAGTCAAAATTATCAGACAATAAAAAGGTTTGCTGAAACAGCTGAAAAAATGGCATGTTTCTGATAAAAAATGACTAAATGAATTATTTGAATATAACCATTGTTGAGGATTGGCACTGTGTCTGTACACAACATGTAATCACAATAGAATTAGACATCATGAATTACACATCATGAATGTGCATGCCACAGCCATAGGGGAAAACACAATCATTAAAAACAGTATCTCAATAAACGGACAAAATGGTAAATTGTGATTATGATAGAAAGAAAGACATCAGTGTCCCATTAGTTGTTTGACAAATCAATAAGTAAAATTTACTGATTTACAGAAAAGTCAAATGGTTGGCATTGCAATGGGACAATAAGACAGGTCTGAAAACAAAACACACCTTGACATGATTGTCATAGCTTTAAATCTGTACAATAATGAGAAGGTGAATTTCAAGATTTACCACTACAATGGGCTCTATGCCGTCTGCCTGAATGAAAGGAATCAGTGACAGGTGTGACAGTGACAGCTAACCATAGATGACAAAGTTAAGGGTATGCTAGGCAACACCAGGGACAAGGCACACACCCTTGTTATTACATTTTGATAGACAAATCAAGGGTTAGCCTCCAATTCACAAATTCACATTGAAGGTGGCACCATGATCAGTATGGGGTGGAGGTGTTATGGTGTGGGCTGTTACATACTGACATACAAGCTGCTTTAGGTCATGTGAGTCGACATATGACTGGCCAAAGATAAGAAACGATATTTTGCATCTTGTCCTTGCTCATTTTTTCAAATCATAGACTGAAATTTTCAACTGCAAGATGCCAGACCACATCGTAACCAGGTCATCACCGATTATATCTGTCAAGGGCATATGGACATTTGACTGGTATGATATTTCCCCTGATATGTCCCTAATAGAGCTCTTGAGGAATGTTCCTGGCTGACAGAGGGCATATGGACATTTGACTGGTATGATATTTCCCTGATATGTCCCTAATAGAGCTCTTGAGGAATGTTCCTGGCTGACAGAGGGCATATGGACATTTGACTGGTATGATATTTCCCCTGATATGTCCCTAATAGAGCTCTTGAGGAATGTTCCTGGCTGACAGAGGGTACAACAGACACCCAACACAGAACTAAAACAAGCTGCTTTCACAATCCTTTTGTAACTATCATTTTTTCATCTGATGAAGGTCATTTCGTTTGATTTGTGAAGATCATGAGATCTATTATTTGTACATGAGCAATAGTGAACTTATTAATCATGAAATAACAACCATAACATACAAATTCATATCACCAGCAATCAGTTTAATCTGATAAACATTGTGTCACTAGGTGGGAACCCAGTTGAACATTATGACTCCTTAGATAAGTAGCTTTAGTATCACAATTATCATTATAATTAGGGAATTTATTAACCTGATAACATTTCAATGTTAAAACAAATAATAAAACAACTTTCAAAATCTTATCCAAAAGCAAAAGTTGACAACAATTAACACAAGCATACCTTTAAAGATCTGAAGAGACATATATATGTTAAGCTACATCTGCATAAATGTCTATAATAAATAATTACGACATTAAAGCATTATCTGTATTTGATAATAGCATAAATTGGCTATGACAAAAATAATACAATTCACACATATACAAATAAAATTACACAGATACTTAAATACTAATGAGTGTAACAATGCATGAAACTATAAAACTATTGCATATTCTCTGTGGGTCATGATTAACTTTAAAACTATTGCATATTCGCCCTACTGTACTATATTGGTAGAAACATATAAATGCCATTCAGCCAATAGTAATGTCAATAGAACCCATACAATTGATAGCTTCAGTTGATGCATTTTGTTATAATCAAAGCATAAATGATGAGAATTTCTAACATGTCTGTTTGCTGGTAAGCAGGGTTTAGGGCTACATTAGATAAGAGTTACTTTCCTTTGGGCTGAATACCACAGGGAGGAAACTTGCAAACTTTGATATTTCTATTACATCTATTAATCATTATCAAGTATTAAAGTTGGTTCACTAACATATAATAATACAGTAGTCTTGGCTTCTATTGTAGTACTATGTAAACCAGCCCCATTAGCCAACCCATCATGCAAATATTTAAATAAACTGACAATGTCATTTTTAAAGCTCCCAAAATTCTCCATATGCATGAGATGAATACAAAATGTTCCTGTTAATTCAACCTGAAACCCACTTTCCTGTCTCAGGCTACAAAGGCAATCATTGCTCTACCATCAACACTGACATTTGAAACAGAAAGCTGATCTGTTCAGAGCTATGACAATCATCAGGAATAAATTATTTAAGGCAATGGCTTGTTCTCTCTGTGGCTGCTGTTGTAAGAAACCTTGTCACTTGTCTCAAGAGATGTGCTTTATTCACATTGTAAGTCAAACACAGAACCGGTTGTTAACAAACACATCTGTCAATAACCAGTCTTGTTGGGCCAATCAGTCTATTCGGATGGTTAAATTCCTGTCCCTTAGACCATCTTTATAACCATTTACTTTACCTGCAGCAGCCACATCCTGCACTATGACAGGTAAGGTAGAACTCACCATGGAAGTAGCTACAATATAAGCTCATATTCAGTACTTTGTTATTGTCTCAAATATCATCATTCGTGGAAATACTACCTTGTAACACTTTTGATAAAATCACCATGTAACCTGTAGGGTGTCCATATCTTGTGGCTTCAAAACATATCTTTGGGGAAAGAGAAACATAAAAATACAAGGATATGGGTGGTTACAGAGTTTTGGACCCATAACTAAGATCAGGAGGTGAATGTTCTTTCCAAATTCCAATTTCAAATACCTTCTTTTATATTTCCTCAAAATGTTAAGTAATAAAAAAAGAGTTGACAAAAATAAAGTGGACATGTTTTAATATCAATATATCAGAATAGTGATATGTATTATTATATATTTTCTCAATATTTTAATATGATATAGTAAATAAGCTCTTATTTTAAGAGTCCTGCTTTCATACATAAAAATATCATTACTGACAATGTCACTACAATGACATTAAACTCATTGTTTAGTTTGTTCCAACACAATATGGTAACAGACCTCATTGGAAACAGATGTATTTAAAAGGAGGTTTTTACTTGAGAAACTATGTGATTCAGGTATCCAGTAGTGGATCATTTCTGCCGTATACTAAACAAAGGAAGTTGAAGATAATAGTGTATTTTTCAAAATATTTCTTTCATCTCCCAAATGTAAATCCTCCACAGCACACAAAGGGAAAGGACCGCATGCGGAGGTTTGTGGACATTGTCGCCAGTAAAGATGATGCAGCATTTGATGCCCTTGTGAAGGCAGTACGTCGAGACAACCGCAAACTGGCTACCAGACTTGTACAGGGGGTTAAAGACGAAGACATGAGGCTCAAGCAAGCCGGGGATGGTGAGTTCACAGACATTACAACAGAAAGTACTAGTTCTTCTGATGTAAAACAATATTTTATGGATAGGTGTTCTATTGTGTACTAAATATGGAAAACTCACATATTTTTATTAAATTTAGTTTATGAGGCATCATGTTGCATGGGTCTATCTCGCTGCTTGGTGAAAATGAATGGTGACTCAAAAGTGTTACTGTAAATGCTTAAATTGTCTTGCTATAGTCAGTCCACTCCCATCGAAACTGAAACTAGTTCAGAATTATTACAAAGCAATACATTACCCCTTCTAGCAATACATTTTCTCTAAAATGGTAAAAGAAATGTTCAGGCCTTCTGTGGGTTGCTCATAAAGGTTACTGAGAGATTGGTCCAGATGAAATATGGCGAATACAGTACTGTTGTTGCTGCATCTCCTTTTATTCCTGTGGGCTAAAGATTGAGAAGTGGGGCAAATGAAAATATACACATGGAAAAAAGTATCGCAACACAGCAAAGTAATTTATCCAAGCCTTAATCTAGCTTATTATCTGCTCAAACTGACCCTCAAGGAATAAATACATGGCAGATCTAACTGCATAAAGAATAAAAAACTAGTATATTCAGAGAAGCAAACATGGCTAAAAATTGACTAGATTAGTAGTGTTGATAACTATTGAAGTGGAACGCTTTTTATAGATAGACAGCTTGTTTGTTGCAGTAGTTGCGACGTTTCGGTGTAGATCCTAACACCGTTATCAAGCAAGACACTCAACATTTGCACAAGGAGAAATATATACATGGCGGGTATTGTGTTTATACAATAGAAGAGGTTGATGTACAGTGTGTGACATGAGACTTGTTGTGATAAGAAATGATTGAAGCCAGTAGACAAAGGGTGGGTTATTCTTGATTAGGCTTGATTAGTTGATCGTGAGCCTACAAGCCAACGGTAAACCACCTACAAGCAACAAAGAAGACCCTTCAGGCGTCGTCTACCACATTCAACGCGAATGTGGTGACTTGTACATAGGAGAAACGTGCCGCCCCCTAAACCTGCAAATCAAGGAACATCAGACATCTGTAAAGAAAAAAGACTCCAAATCAGACATTTCCGACGACACCCAAGCCCACCCGAACCATACCATACTTTGGAACAACATCAGCATCCTAGAAGCCAATTGGTCAGATTACAAGATAAGAAAACTCTTAGAGGCAATCAACATCAAACGACTCAACCCGGCAATCAACAGAGATCAAGGTTTTTACATCCCCACGGCTTACGATCAACTAATCAAGCCTAATCAAGAATAACCCACCCTTTGTCTACTGGCTTCAATCATTTCTTATCACAACAAGTCTCATGTCACACACTGTACATCAACCTCTTCTATTGTATAAACACAATACCCGCCATGTATATATTTCTCCTTGTGCAAATGTTGAGTGTCTTGCTTGATAACGGTGTTAGGATCTACACCGAAATGTCGCAACTACTGCAACAAACAAGCTCTCTATCCATAAAAAGTGTTCCACTTCATCATACCAGCTTCTAAATGCCACTTAAGGAAGTTGATAACTATTGTCATATAACATTAAGCATAAGTGCAGTCATTTATAATATTCTGGCATACAATCCTCAAAAGATCACATAAGTATCAATGACCAAGCAAAATGTCAATATCTCTACTCCTCATTGACTGCATCAGACGTTGAATTTGACGCTTGACACTAAGCTGGTCTGTGGATAACAACAGACATCTTATTTTGAAGTGAAGTCTTGTGATTCTGAGATAGGCTGTATGCTAGGAGTTTTCACTCGTGGTCGACAGCCAACATCTCGTACAATATCCCTCAGTGACATGCCAGCATTCCCCATACCAATAACTTGCCATCTTTGAGCAGTTGTCATTTGAGGAGGACCCATATAATTTTGCTTATCAGCAAAGAAATCAATTGATTTTCCAAGTTCTCAAGCTGTAAGGACTGTTTACTAAAACTTGATATCTGCTTAATGAGGGGTTCACTCATCGTATGTGATACTTGCCTTCAATATTCAAAACAAACATAATTATGATATGAATATAAACTGCTTTTTGGGGGTTACAAATCATAGGTGTTGCAATACTTTTTTCCATGTGTATTCATTTAATTGTCAGTTGTGAATCATTGGGGTTGGAGAGGGGAAAAGGTGTGGACTAGTGGGTGGTGGTGAGGGTGGGGTAGTTAAAGTACTGTCGGAAATAGAAAAAAAATGTTTTTTCGCATTGATATCTACAATTTATGTAGTTAATATGTGAGGTGAGGTGAGGTGAAATTCGGTTTAACGTCGCGCTTGAGAATATTTCGCTCATATGACGACGTGCATGCGTGTGTATGTGTATGTGCGGCTGCTTGTACTAGCCCAGACTGAAGCTGGTTTTATAGTGCTAGCCCACTGAGATACCATGCCGCAGTGAAGCAGGAATACCCCACTCAGACACATTATACTGACTCCGAGCCGACCAGTCCTTGTTGTACCCATTAATACCGAACGCCAGGCAGGGACCAACAAGTACCATATTTTAACGTCTTTTGGTATGACGCAGTCGGGGATCGAACCCGCGACCTTCCGCTCTCCAGGCGGACGCTCTAACCACTACACCACGGAGGCGGTCAGTTAATATGTGTAAGTGTGAAATATCTTGTTAAACTAAGTTCGCCTAATTACAGTCTCAGTGGTAGGAAGATAGGAAACGTAGAAAAAGGACTTTACTGAGGAGAGATTAGTGCAGAAATGAGAAATGCGGGTTTTTTCAAAGTCCAAAGCGACTTATTTGGAACAGACCATGGCTTTATGCAAATTAGTGTGCGATGATATTATATTACAAAGGACAATTTTAATATGTCCATTTTGAAATTAAACTTAGCTTCATTATAAGCGATAGCTGACGTAAAAAATAATAACTATAATACTGAAACTATGAAGGATGTAGCTACCATGGAGTCCCACTATCACTATAAAAGATAACAAAAGGCACAACTTTAGGATCTGTTTGATATATCTATCAAGTTTTGTTGAAAATATTATATGTTTTTGAGTTGTGCTCCGAACGAAAGCAATCCTTACTTTTTGAGACTAAGTCCAAAATGTTTCCATGGAAACCAAGAAAAATAAAAATGCCAAAAATCGGCAAATAGCAAAAGGCACCACTTAAGGTTCTGTTTGATATATCTATCAAGTTTTGATGAAAAATATTATATGGTTTTTGAGTTATGCTCCGGAAACGAAGCCCACCCCTCACTTTTGGGATTAAGTCCAAAATGTTTCCATGGAAACCAAGAAAAATAAAAATGCCAAAAATCGGCAAATAGCAAAAGGCACCACTTAAGGTTCTGTTTCATACATCTACCAAGTTTTGTTGAAAAATATTGAACGGTTCTTGAGTTATGCTCCGGAAACGAAGCCCACCCCTCACTTTTGGGACTAAGTCCAAATCGTTTCCATGGAAACCAAGAAAAATAAAAATGCCAAAAATCTGCAAATAGCAAAAGGCACCACTTAAGGTTCTGTTTGATATATCTACCAAGTCTTGTTGAAAATATTGAACGGTTCTTGAGTTATGCTCTGGAAGCGAAGCCCACCCCTCACTTTTGGGACTAAGTCCCAATTGTTTCCATGGAAACCGGGAAAAATAAAAATGCCAAAAATCGGCAAATAGCAAAAGGCACCACTTAAGGTTCTGTTTGATATATCTACCAAGTCTTGTTGAAAAATATTGAACGGTTCTTGAGTTATGCTCTGGAAACGGCCCACCCCTCACCTTTTGGGACTAAGTCCGGAATCGCTTCCATGGAAACCGGAAAAATAAAAATGCCAAAAATCTGCAAATAGCAAAAGGCACAACTTTAGGATCTGTTTGATATATCTACCAAGTTTTGTTGAAAAATGTTGAATGGTTCTTGAGTTATGCTCCGGAAACGAAAGCAATCCTTACTTTTTGAGACTAAGTTCAAAATGTTTCCATGGAAACCAAGAAAAATAAAAATGCCAAAAATCGGCAAATAGCAAAAGGCACCACTTAAGGTTCTGTTTCATACATCTACCAAGTTTTGTTGAAAAATATTGAACGGTTCTTGAGTTATGCTCCGGAAACGAAGCCCACCCCTCACTTTTTGGACTAAGTCCAAATCGTTTCCATGGAAACCGGGAAAAATAAAAATGCCAAAAATCTGCAAATAGCAAAAGGCACCACTTAAGGTTCTGTTTGATATATCTACCAAGTCTTGTTGAAAAATATTGAACGGTTCTTGAGTTATGCTCTGGAAACGGCAAGCCCACCCTCACTTTTGGGACTAAGTCCAATTGTTTCCATGGAAACCGGGAAAAATAAAATGCCAAAATCTGCAAATAGCAAAAGGCACAACTTTAGGATCTGTTTGATATATCTATCAAGTTTTGATGAAAAATATTATATGGTTTTTGAGTTATGCTCCGGAAACGAAGCCCACCCCTCACTTTTGGGATTAAGATGCCAAAAATCGGCAAATAGCAAAAGGCACCACTTAAGGTTCTGTTTCATACATCTACCAAGTTTTGTTGAAAAATATTGAACGGTTCTTGAGTTATGCTCCGGAAACGAAGCCCACCCCTCACTTTTGGGACTAAGTCCAAATCGTTTCCATGGAAACCAAGAAAAATAAAAATGCCAAAAATCGGCAAATAGCAAAAGGCACCACTTAAGGTTCTGTTTGATATATCTACCAAGTCTTGTTGAAAAATATTGAACGGTTCTTGAGTTATGCTCTGGAAACGAAGCTTCCACCCTCACTTTTGGGACTAAGTCCCAATTGTTTTCCATGGAAACCGGGAAAAATAAAAATGCCAAAAATCTGCAAATAGCAAAAGGCACAACTTTAGGATCTGTTTGATATATCTATCAAGTTTTGATGAAAAATATTATATGGTTTTTGAGTTATGCTCCGGAAACGAAGCCCACCCCTCACTTTTGGGATTGTCCAAAATGTTTCCATGGAAACCAAGAAAAATAAAAATGCCAAAAATCGGCAAATAGCAAAGGCACCACTTAAGGTTCCTGTTTCATACATCTACCAAGTTTTGTTGAAAAATATTGAGCGGTTCTTGAGTTATGCTCGGAAAGCAAGCCCACCACCCTCACTTTTGGGACTAAGTCCAAATGTTTCCATGGAAACCAAGAAAAATAAAAATGCCAAAATCGGCAAATAGCAAAGAAGCACCACTTAAGGTTCTGTTTGATATATCTACCAAGTCTTTTGAAAAAAATATTGAGCGGTTCTTGAGTTATGCTCTGGAAGCAAGCCCACCCCTCACTTTTGGGAATAAGTCGAATTGTTTCCATGGAAACCGGAAAAAATAAAATGCCAAAAAATCGGCAAATAGCAAAAGGCACCACTTAAGGTTCTGTTTGATATATCTACCAAGTCTTGTTGAAAAATATTGAACGGTTCTTGAGTTATGCTCTGGAAATTCGAAGCCCACCCTCACTTTTGGGACTAAGTCCCGAATTGCGTTCCATGGAAACCTGAAAAATAAAATGCCAAAATCTGCAAATAGCAAAAGGCACCACTTAAGGTTCTGTTTGATATATATATCTACCAAGTCTTGTTGAAAAATATTGAACGGTTCTTTGAGTTATGCTCTGGAAACGGGGTTTCCACCCCCTCACTTTTGGGACTAAGTCCTGAAGTCGAATATTTCAAAAATAAAATGCCAAAAATCTGCAAATAGCAAAAGGCACAACTTTAGGATCTGTTTGATATATCTACCAAGTTTTGTTGAAAAATGTTGAATGGTTCTTGAGTTATGCTCCGGAAACGAAAGCAATCCTTACTTTTTGAGACTAAGTTCAAAATGTTTCCATGGAAACCAAGAAAAATAAAAATGCCAAAAATCGGCAAATAGCAAAAGGCACCACTTTAGGATCTGTTTCATACATCTACCAAGTTTTGTTGAAAAATATTGAACGGTTCTTGAGTTATGCTCCGGAAACGAAGCCCACCCCTCACTTTTGGGACTAAGTCCAAATCGTTTCCATGGAAACCGGGAAAAATAAAAATGCCAAAAATCTGTGAAATGCAAAAGGCACCACTTTAGGATCTGTTTGATATATCTACCAAGTTTCGTTGAAAAATATTGAACGGTTCTTGAGTTATGCTCCGGAAACGAAGCCCACCCTTCTTTAAGACTAAGTCCAAAACGTTTCCATGGAAACCGAGAAAAATAAAAATGACAATTATCTGTAAATAGCAAAAGGCACCACCTTAGGTTATTTTTGACATATCTACCAATTTTGGTTAAAAAATATCGAACGGTCTTTGAGTTATGGTCCGGAAACAAAATGATTATGGACGGACGGACGGACAGACAGACGGACGAGGCGACGACTATATCCCACCGCATTATATGCCGGTGGGATAAAAAAGAAACAGGTAGAAGGGGTCGTCTCAAAAGCAAATCCAGAACGGGTGTCGCCGACGATGGTGGGGTCGGGCAGGTGAATAGAGATATAAGCTGAGATAAGATAATCCTTTAGGGAAATAAAATGGGAAGCAAACAGCATGTCATAACAATTTACAAATAATATCCAGTCCTGTTGATCTTCGGGTGGTCATGCCAGCTATATATTTTGAGACATTTTAATATGATGGCTGATTTAAGCTTTTCCATGGGTATCATACCCTTTCACGTATCTCAACATAAACTTTATGATCAATAGATGAGACATATTCAACACACATGAAAAAGCATAAAGTATCTTTGAGATGACCCCTTGTGCTTGTAGGCAGGACGTGCATTTCATTGCCATCTATAGTCCGATCTATTGTTTTGAGCAGCTATTCGTATTTTTTCTTTTAGTTTTGCCCTATTTTACGAGTAAACATGCTGTTCTGGATATACTATTACGCATCCCACTGAATGCCCAGTTAGGCCGATGTGGCTTATTTCGATATATGCTATTTGTAAATTTGTCAAATTTAGGGATACAGAGTAACAGCCTAATAACAGTTTTTTTTCTATTTCCGACAGTACTTTAGTACATATATTTCTGCTGATGAAGTTTGTCTCTTTCTAAATATCAAAATTTATGTGTGTAACACAATCTCAAAATATGGGGATATTCATGAACTACTCCACCAATCAGTAGTGGGGATATGCATGAACTACTCCACCAATCAGTTGTGGGATATGCAGAACTACTCCATCAGTATATGCATGAACTACTCCACCAATCAGTCAACTACTCCACCAATCAGTTGTGTGGATATGCATGAACTATGGATGAACAGAACAACTCCACCAATCAGTTGAGCAGATATGTATTAACTGCTACACAAGTCAATATTAGAGACATGGATGAACAGCTCCACCAGTCAGTAGTGGGGATTCACTTCACTAATCACTGGTGTGATTTTACCTAAACAGTTTCTAATGAGTAATGAAGAAATCATGTGAATGACAATCTCTTGACAGAAGAGGTAGAATGACAAGCCCTGAGGGGCACATGTTGGTCTTCCTGCCAGAATCAACAGATTACAGTTATTTCTCCAACTTAACCCATGTTATGGTTGATTATAATTATATCATATAATTTTCATTATGACCTACAGTGAGTGAGAGAGTGAGTTTAGTTTTACGCCACACTCAGCAATATTCCAGCTATATGGCGGTGGTCTGTAAATAATCGAGTCTGGACCAGACAATCCAGGGATCAACATCACGAACATCGATCTACACAATTGGGATACGATGACATGTGTCAACCAAGTCAGCGAGCCTGACCACACGATCCCTCTTAAGACAAGCATGGGTTGCTGAAGATCAATTCTAACCCGGATCTTCACGGATTATGACCTACAGATGTTTTGAATAACCTTAGAGTTCCTGGCTCAGAATCAACTGCACCAACAATAGCATGACACCATAATGGTAATCGTAATGGTTAAGTAACTGGAGATATACATGAATAGTTTCAGGCCATCAATATCCACAAACCATTGGTCAAAATAATTTTCTAAAACCAAGTGTTTTCAGTTTACAACAATGCCTGCTGGTAATTTGAATCACTGTTAGGTTAATCAGTAGTTCATTAATATCTGCTGCACACCAGGCCCTGACCTACATCACAAAGAAAAATACCTGACCCTCTTGTGGAAAATTAAATTATAGATTTTGACATTTACATTGAATATCAGTTACCAGACATTTCTCCTCAGTATTGATTTGGTCCCATATTTCAGTTTGTTATCATCTAAAATATTCATTCATTAGCCATACAGGAATATGTTGAAACAAAGGCCAATATTACACACAGCCATATTGCATGGACAGAACAAATTTATCAAAGAAGATATAAGCTAAATTTGCAGATTCAAGCCATGGCTTTCAAACGTGTATCAAGTAAGTGTCTTGTTTTGTCTGTGAAATGATTCAAATCCATGTTTGGTGCATGTTTCGAATGTCAGTAAAGAGCAGTAATGATACATACCGTAATGATAGCGTTTCAGCTTCCTGCTGGGAATACTATGCAATGCTGTCTTTTACCCATGGGATTAAATTTAGTGAGGGAAAACATCAAATTGTGAGTTCTACATCTCTAGAATATGTTCAGCAGAATGGATATTGATGTTATCATATGCAGTCTTACGAAAGAAATCTACCTGGTTTGATCATTCAGATTGATCAGAGAAGCAACACTTTGGCATTGAAACTACTCATAGACATATCAGTTATATTATCAGGACATTGTCAATCTTGACCAGTTCAAACGACAACTGAAAACCCACTTGTTCAACATAGCCTTCACCTAAGCGCCTTTGAGCAATACATTGGAACAGGCGCTATACAAATATTAACTTTATTATTTATTATCATATTACAGTCTGTCAGTCTAAACCCGTGAAGATCTGGGTTAGAATCGGTCTTCAGTAAACCATGCTTGTCATAAAACAGGATCGGGTGGTCAGGCTTGCTGACTTGGTGGACACATGTCATCATATCTCAATTGCATAGTTCAATGCTCATGCTGTTGATCACTGGATTGACTGGTCCAGACACGATTATGTATAGCTGGAATATTGCTAAGTGTGGCATGAACAACAAACAAACAAACCAACCTCTGGGTAACATTGTCGGACTGACTGACTGACTGAGTTTGGTTTTACACCGCTTTTAGCAATATTCCAGCAACATCATGGCAGGGCGACACCAGAAATGGGCTTCACACATTGTGCCCATGTGAGGATTCGAACCCAGGTCTTCGGAGTGACGAGCCAACGCTTTAACCATTAGGTTACCCCACCGCCCGGGTAACATGAAAGAATAAAGAATAAAGCATAAAATGACTGTGAATCTTCAACTCAAACCTGCAACTGGTAGAACCTGCACATGTAATAATATAGAGGCTGTCAATCTTCTGTAACTGATCGTGTAGCTTACAGGTAATTGGTCTTGATAATTAAACAATGTACATATGCATATAAGAATTTACTTTACTGACTGAAAGTTTGTAAATAGTTGTGCATTTTCATATAATTTCAGGGGTGAAGCAGAAGATCGCATTAGCGCTTCTCACAACAAGAATTTCGGAGAGACAGAAGGAGACCATCATCTCCAATGTCTCTGAAGTGGTAGATTCGGAGCTGCACAGTAAGGCACTGCGTGTGAGCATCCCTGACCACAGAGCTAGTGCAGAACTTGACCAAATCAACACAAAACTTAAGAAGATTATCAACCTTGAGGTGGACCCACTTCTGTATGGACCAGGCTACAGGACAGACCTCAGCCAACAAGAAGCTGATGAGGTGGTATCCAAGCTACAGAGCATGCTCGTGGAGCTTAATGTCATTCAGGACTGTTACAGTGCACTGGGTGTACATGCTTTCTCTGGATCTGGAAAGGCTCTACCCAACATTCTCTGTCAAAGGATAGAGGAAACAAAAACATCCATTGGCATTCTCCAGAAAGAGAAAAAAGACCTCAGTAAAGAAAAAGCAGATCTGGTTAAAGAGAAGAGTCTGCAGGGAAAAGATGTTGGAACCTTGGAATCACGTAATCGCAGTTTGGAGCTTCATAACAGGAACCTGGAAGGAGAGTGTGCAAAACTTGATCAGGCTGTTAAGAAACTGACATCAGTAAAGGACAGTCTGGAGATTGAGAAACGAAAACTTCAAGATGAGAATTCTAAACTGGTATCTACAAACCAAGGTTTGCAGACTGAGGCATGGAATCTTGGACTGAACTTCAAGAGGGCAGATGAGCTGAATCAGAAACTAACACGAGAGAACCAGAAACTGTCATCAAAGAACAACCTGATAAAGAGGGAGTACTACGGTCCAAGTTCCACCAGTTCACTGAAGGCAGACAACAAGACGCTATTGGATGACAAGTTGAGGCTAAAGGCAGAGATTGGCAAGCTGGAGGGGGAGAAGAGGCAACTGCTGATTAGGACCCAGAAGCTGGATTCAGAAAATGACAACCTCCGTGATCAGAAGAGGAAGTTGATGATTGACAAACGTAAATACTGGGGAGAAAACCAACAGCTGAAAACTGAGGCAAAACGTCTTGCAATTGGGACTGTTCAACCAGTGCTGTTGCCTCCAATAGCTGAGGTCCAGGGAAGTAAGGGAAGTTTGATGGGTTCAAACCAGCAGTCAGGTAAAGGATACAGTGGTCAGGTAGGTCACAATGGCCCAGAACGTCAGACCAGACGTACAAACAACCATAGTCCTCCTCACAGCAAATCCAGCCCAGGAGTTGGAATCCCTGCCCGGAAATCTGTCAACAGCAACACCTTCACCAGTCCTCAAACTGGCTCAAGGAAAACAACCACATATAATTCATCTACTGGCAAATCCCAACTAAATCACCCAAAGTATCGAGCATCTGTTTATGACTACAGACCACAGAACAAATCCGTTCAGTTCAATACTTCACCTCCACCACGATACGGCAATAAGGCATAGTCTGTTCTTCATCACTCAACCTAAGACAGAACATATCGCACAGACTGTCAGATAGGATACATCTGTGCCGCAAGCATTACTAGAACTTCCATTTCTGAATCACCTTAGATCAGTTATTCAGGTACAAAGGTTTCCCAAAGCAACTGGTGACAATCAATCAGGCGGAAACAAAGAGACACTATTCAGACATAATCTATCATATTCTATATTGTTCCATAAGCAGAAGCAAAAAGTAATGACAGAGGTCATATTAAAATTGGGTTTTATATATTTATATTCATGTTTCATAACTTTAATTCAATTAAAGATGCACTTTATATTTTGAACTGACATATCTACCAGATATTCAAGGCTGACATATTAGATATTGGCTTGTTAACAAAACAGCAGTGAAACATACAAATAAATAATGCCTTTAGGGACTGGTCAAATGCAACATGTTATAGTTAGGATTACACTTTCTCAGTATGAGAGTGTGGGTTTGAATTCAGGGTGGGAGCCAACCCCCCAAAAGTACAAGAAAATGTACTTTGCTGAGAAAGTGTAATCCAAAGTGTAACATGCTTCAGCAGTGAAGCAATCTGAGTAAACTTTAAAGTGAATTTTGAACATACTTATTTCACGTAAAGATCAAGAAATCTGAATCTGCCAGCACAAACATTCTGAATGTCATTGCCTATAAACCTTCTATGGTTATACTGTTGGGATTACTTCTTTTCTGTTTTTCTCAAGTCACAATATAACATACGCATTGAACAACTTCCTGTACTCCACTTTAGCTGCTGGAGGACTCTCTTATACCACTTTGTTGATGAGTTGAAGAAATGTTTATTGTACAGTTATGTGTAGTCCTGCCAAATGCACATTATACCTCACATGGTATTAGAAGACTCACAATTGCAATAAAATCTGTTATATCTGGAACAGTTTGAGGAATGGAGGCATAGCCTTGCAGGTACAGCACTCACCCACTAACTCTCTTTCTCTTGCACACATAAACACACACACTCTCTCTCTCTCTCACACACACATACTCTCTCACACACACTCTCTCACACACACTCTCACTCACACGCTCTCTCTCTCTCACACACATACTTCTCTCTCTCTCTCACTCACACACACACTTCTCTCTCTCTCTCACTCACACACACACTTCTCTCTCTCTCTCACACACAGACTGACACTCTCACACATATGATTCAAGGCTGTCTAATAATAACTATATCTAACTTCTGTAATATCTATCTAAAGATGTGCAACAGGATATTTCAGTTAGGGGTGTTAGTTAGAACAATGCTGTTTGTGTTCACCTTCAATTTCGATGTTTCATGGAAGGTGAAACAACAGACCCAGTGGTCTATAGCATTCTCTTGAACTGTCTTGAATGATGAAGTATAAAGCATGTTCACATATACAAACATATATATGCAGAGAGCACAAACTGTTCAAGAAAAGACAGACACTGAATATATAAGTAGGATGCATCTTTACTGGAATATGTAGTCCTGTACCAGGATGTATATGGAATGACACACTTTGATCACAAAAGGAAGAAATAGAATATTGTTTTCCACGCCTCTATTTTTGTATACACTGAATGGATCTGCTCCTTTTGCAAGAAAACATGTTGTATTCTTGACTCAGTTTAATCACAACCAGGAGAGTGTATGTGCCATTGATGCGTACATGTATTTACAGAGAAAGTCTCACAAAATGTTGGGCAAAATAGAATGGGCACAAAAGGTTGTTTCCACATCACGGAACCTGAGTGTTGTCTGTAATTATTTATTGTCTGTGATACATATATCTGTTCTTTATACCTCTTTACACAAGTTGATATTTTAATGTTTCTATAATAATTTGTTATTAAAGCATTTTTCTCTACATATTTACTTTTTTATCATGTTATTATAAAAACAACCTGTGTGTTTCAACATTCAACTGTGTTCTAATTATCATATGAAATATGAAGTCACCATAATCCTGCAGAATTTCATCTTTATTACAGATTATTGTCACAGAACATATACCCTTCCGACTGGTTTTAAAATGATAACAAATTTTGTTTGAAGAAGGCTGTCAGGGCTGCCTGCTGATATGCTTTCCCTGAGAAAATAAGGAGAACCTTCTTTCTATTATAAGTTGAATCCTTCTCTCGAGGGTAATACGGTCTGATGTACGCATCGTACATCAGACCGTATTACCTGAGTGAGAAGCATACAACATATTTATCTTACAGCCATGTGAAATGTACAAAATATCATTTTATTTTATTTTGAATATCGCTACTGACTATATGACATGTAAACAAAATGGCATCTGTCTCTCGACTGGATTTTTAATATCAGTGAAACATATTCTGAGAAGCTTAAAACTGCTATAAAAAGTATGCAAATGATTCAATATATACAATAGTTAAATAAAGCAGTGAAAGTTGGTAAAATAAATGTGTACATAGTGAACTCAAAAACAGCTAATCGAACGGTTTTCAAACTCCTGGCATTGCACTGCATCGGACATATAATGACATCATACGATTGTTAGTGATACAGTTTCTCGGCGGAGAGTTAGGCGGTTACCGTGGTAGCGGGTAATATCTTTTCCAGTTGTCACCCTACCACCCTCCACATACTAACATTATTTCTTGTCTGGTGTCCCCAGCTGTAATATTGCTCAGAGGACTGGAACACTACACTCACTCACTCACTTAAATGACAGGGGCAGGTAAAGTAAACCCAATGAAGAACACACTGCTGCGCATACATAAATTGATACTGAAGCACTGAGGTGATGGGTTACCCTGGTGGTAACACATGTGATAGTTCATTAGGCAAGTGACCATTTTAGAGGAATCTTTTCACTGAGAAGTGAAAGAGTACCCAGCAGGATGAGATGGTAACAGTCCTGTTAACCTCCAGGCACCTGACAGGCAGTTTGGGTTGTATACTCCCCAGGGAGTTGAGAATAAAAACAGAGGAGTCCCAAATCCACTGACTGGGTGTGTACAGTCACATCTAATTATTCATCTGGTGAATAGAATCTGGTTTACTGTAAACCGATTTAGTATTATTATTGTTGTTGTTGCTATCATTATGTCGCTGTGTGGGTGGTAGGCACGGATGACTGGATGCACCCTGACACCAGTGATGAGTATCTTGGGACTGGCTGCCTACTGGAGCGACAGTTGGAAGTCCTAAGTTACAATAACAAGTGTTATTGCCAGACTGCACCAGAATACCTGCTTGACTTGCTTCCAAAACATTCACCATCACCATCCCTACCATCATCAGACAAACATCTTCTTAAAGTTCAGAGGCAAAAAATTATATCTTTTGTTCAAGGATACAGTTAGCAAGATCAGACATATAGTTGGGCAACATTTCCCACTGAACTTGAAACTTCCCTGGACTCTATGAAGAGTCATCAAAAGAATTTTCTGTTCACTAAAAGTACTATTTGAAATGTAATTACAGCAGCTTGGTCCATATTTGTATATACATCTGGTGTAGAACTTTGAGTATTCACAGCAGAAGTAGGGTTAAAACATCATACATTATAACTGCTTCCTTTGCTTAAAGACAGTTACTTTCAACACCCAGTCAGGGCTGTATTGTTTTAGTGAGGGCATATGTTACACAACATATCCAGTCAGTGGGAGTATTGATTAATACAAGTCATATCCCCGTCGACTACATCAAGGGAAGTAACTACTGCAGCCTTATTCTACACTGCTGAACACCTGTGAACATGATACCACTACCTTGAAGTGAGTGAGTGAGTATGGTTTTACGCCGCTTTTAGCAATATTCCAGCAATATCACGGCGGGGGACACCACAAATGGGCTTCACACATTGTACCCATGTGGGGAATCGAACCCGGGTCTTCAGTGTGACGAGCGAACGCTTTAACCATTAGGCTACCCCACCGCCCCTACTACCTTGAAGTAAAGTGGTGATGTTTTATACTGTGTAATGATCTCAAAAACTTGTTCTTTAAACATGAGACTTGCCTGTTTAGCTACCTGTACAACAAACAAACAGTAGTGTCACCTGCCACCATTTAGGTGAAAATTAAAGCATTTGATTTGATAAACTAACCTTCCAATAAGCACTTAAAATTACAAAAATGGTATACTCTCCCACTGTACAAAAATACCACAAATAGACAACATCAGCTACATTATGTTAGGAAAATCACATAACAATAAAGGTATAGTTTCACCACACTACTTGTAATTAACTTTGCATTCTCATGAGCAAGACCACACATCCATCTGTCTATCTGTCAAGTAATATCAGCTATCCCTTCATCTCATGACATTATTTTACACACCTCTACTGGCAAAGTCATTTGCAAGTATCATTGTATATTTTTTCAAATATAGTAAACTCAGTTGAATACATATACAGTCTTACAGATTCTAGCAAGACAAATGTGTGATACTCGATTCTGATTGGCTGAGAGCTCATCAAAACTGTACTTAAATGACAGTTTAAGGACAGCTAATTAAAGTGACCGATTCACACGGTATGACTACAACGTACTCGTTGACCCTATTGTTTGTAAACAAACATGTCTGACATCGGCAATTTCTACCTCAGCTGCATCTTTGGTGTTTTTGAAGTAAAGAGCGCATGGTTGGAAGAAGAATTTCTTGACCCTAATCCCAATGAAGAAACTACGGAGCTGGAAAATCCGTCAGCAGCGCAAAAGTGGCAGTATATTCAAACAGGGTCCAGATCTAGTGGGCATAACGTCGACAACACACGTCGGCCCACACGTCCTAACCTGACCGGTTCCGTCCCAGCCGTAATGCCCAGTCCTTCCACTTCCACTGTCCATGTATCCCACATAAAATGTGGCATGTCAGGTCTTTTCCGAATTGGGAACAGTAGGGTGGTTATCAACAATTATTTCCGTGAATAAAGTTAGCGGCGACTAAACTTAGCGAGTTCACGGCTTGAATTGGGGTGAGTCGATTGTCATAGAGTAGGGGAGATCAAGAATTCGCTTGAGAAAAATCAAATAATTTTTTTTATTTATGTATGCTACTTGTTACAAATACCAATCATACTTGTTCCTGAAAAAAAGCATTTATGTTGTTGAAAATGTCTTATTTTGTTCATTACACAACCTGTCCCTCAACGGGACAATTCCAAGTGATTTCCAGGAAAAAGGCCCCATTTCCGCCTTGTGTGCACTGTTCTTGGGTGCCAAACAGTTCGGTTTTAAAACGCTTATCAGTCGTGCTAGAATGAAGATAAAGCTACTCTGTTTTACATTTTGCGGTCCTTTATCGTTGATTTAAGACCGCTAAATGTTTAATTTAAAACCTCACGCTGACGCGTTCAGTTTTTAAATTACATTTAGCAGTCTTATATCAACGATAAAGGACTGCAAAATTGAAAACAGAATAGCTTTATCTTCTAATTAACAGACCCAGTCGTAACAGAATTTGGGTCATTCTCAAAATTTGCCCAACTTTTGGTCAGTAACACATTGCTCTGAAAATATTGTTTTCCATTTTTTTTCAAAAATCATATTATGAAAGGAAAATGTATTTTTGTAATGATGTAAAATGGTGTACCTGTTTGTTATTTTTGGGACAAAATTGGGTTTTTATCATCATTTTGAAAGAAAAACCACTGTCAGTGGACAGCGACATTACTTTGCAGTACCATAAAGTTTAAATTCCAGGGTATTTATACATATTTTTTAAAGATTTAGAATGAAACACCAATATTAAAAACACATTCCTGCATGAAATATTGAAAACAAAATGAAAATCACATAATTACAATGAATACAATGACTGTCCAAAATGTCACAGTCAGTGGTGTAACGAATATAAACTTGTGACATTAATAATTATCTCGTTTGAGTAAAAAATATGAAACACTAAATGGTCCCTTTACTGATGACTTTTTTCTCGTGGAGGCCAAATTTTATTTTGATGTTGAAGTTTGATGCAGTTGGTGAGTGTACTTTATATCATAACTTTTTATTGAGTCAGTGGTGTAACGTTGATTTCTTGTTCATG